TAAAAAGTAAAAAGAAAGAAAGAAAGAAAAAAAGGACAGCTTCTTTGATGAAGTTCTCTAAGGCCCAGGCTGAAATTACACAGTGCTGTCAGGTCTCATGGCCCCAGGAGAGAGGAGAGCATACAGGAGTAGGTAGCTCCGTTAAGTAATGTGTTTATTTACCAGAACAATCCAGCGGCAGATGAGTTGCTACCACTAAGGCGCATTAGAAGGACATCCTGCAGGTGCTGGATACTCTTCTAAGGGTTTTACTGGGCCTGTCTGTGCACAGGAAGGGAAGAAATGGTCTTTCTAAGCTTGAAATATCTTTAAGATTGCTGTCTTAGATGGTTTAAGAGAGAAGAAAAAGGGTGGAAGCAACACACCTGCCCAAATTCGGGTAAAAGCCCCCTCAAAACCTGTGTATAAAAGGTTCCCAGCTCATGGTACTATGGGAGGTGGTGGAACCTATAGGAGGTGGAACCTAGGGGAAGAAAGTTAGGTTATTGGGGGTGTGTTGAGAGGGATACATCTTTCTTATCTGTCGTTTCACTTCCTGCCTCCTCTACCACACGCTCCCACCATGATGTACCACGCTGCTACAAGACCAAAAGCAGTGAGGCCAAGTGACCGTGGACTAAAATCTTCAAAGCTGTGAAACTTAATAAAACTTTTCTCTTTACAAGTTAAGTTATCTCAGGTATCTGTTACAGTAAGAGAAAACAACACAATATCCTAGAGCAGTGGTGGTGAACCTGTGTCATGCATACTGCAGCTAGCTGTTTGCTATCATGAAAAGCTCTAAAAGGTTCGCCGTCACTGCCCTAGAGAGAATTCTGCCCAGTACTCCTTATCCAGAGAGTTTCGGAGTGACAGCCACTTGGCCCTGCCAGGAATCCCTGAGCCTTCCATGTGGACATATATTCAGCAACCCAGCCCAGCCCAGCCCAGCCCTGCCCTACCCACCCGAGGCTTGTATATGCAGCACAAGAGTGAAGTCAGCTGCTGCCAATGGGAAATTTGAGATGAGCCCTCCTGGACCAGACCATTGCCAGGAGGGACAGCCCAGCCCTCCCCTCACTAGTGCTCCCCAGATGACACTGCCCAAGCCCATGCTGTCCTTACGTGGCTCTAACCCAGTGCCCTTCTGGGAGAGTGGTAGTATTAACTAGAGAGTCAGCACCCCTATGAGAGCTGCCTCGTGGTGCGGTCAGCAAGTCCAACTCCAGGCCTTGAGCATCTCCGGCAGGGAGCAGGTTACATGCGGGATGCTGGGGAGAGGAGGAGAAGATAGACCTGGCCTCAAAGAGTCTTCTGAAAATCCTTTTCCTTTATTATTAAAATGGTGACAGCTGTGAACCATTTCAGTGATTTCACTCAATTGAGGGCACAGATGAAAATGTTCTCCTTGGATATGTTTCTCTTGCAGTATTGGCTGCTCTTCCTTCAGTGATGAAGAATCAGATCTTCTCCGTTTCTCCACTGCTTCAAACTGCGTGTCCAACAAAGCCTTCAGAGGAGAGAGAAAACCAACTGACTGATAAAGCACTCATGAAAGAGTGAGGCGCGGGAGCTGTCAGCTCCCCATTTTGGCAGAAACCCCAGAGCCCTGCCTGACCTGGGGCAACTTTTGCACCATTTCTATCCTGACTCCATGGCCTCGAGAGCTGCTTAGTGCCAGGCATGATGTGGACACTTGCCTGCTGGATGCAGACAGAAACTCATTTTCCATCTGTCAAACAGCCTGATGCAGAGTTGTTAATGATTTTCTGTCAGGCAAGGTCTGGCTGGATTTGAACCTATGACCCAGCGGTAAAAGGTCAGATGTAGGGCTCCCTGTAAAATAACTGGTTACCTGCACCTTGTTAGGCTTGGCCTAGCTCTTTCTCTCTTGCATCTGGCATGCTTTTTCCTCATCCAGGTAAATTTTAGATAGGTTCTAACTTAGCATCAGGCTGAGTGCTCACGTTCCTGTGTGAACAAGGAATGCATTTATATCCCCGAGAATGAGGACTAAAAGCAGAGAAATGACAGACAAGAAAGGCCTGTTTCAGTCACCTGGGGCCTGAAGCCATGTGCTTCTGATCAGCTGGGTGCCTAGGCTTCTTCAGGACCTTTCACATCTACCAGCCAGCTGAAGCCAAAAGAAACGTGAGTCTTGGGCCAGGGATTTAGCTCAGTGGTGCTGCAACTACTTTGCAAGTACAAGGCCCTGAGTTTGATCCCTGGTACTGGAAAAAGAACATGTGGGTCTAGAGGCAATTACCTGGGTCTCAGATATCCTGGGCTTGAAATTCTCATCATTATTTATACTGTTTTACTATATATATAATTTATTATACATTATATTATTATATGTTTTAATATATAATTTATAATAATAATAATAATAATAATAACATATATATATTCCTTTCAGGAGAATCCATAGTACGGTGACTTCCATTCACTGAGTGATAATTAAGAGTCACATACCATCTCCAAAAATAGCATTTCACAGCCTGAAGCCATCTGTCCTCCTGAATCAAAAGAGCAACTCAGAGGACAGAGATTAAGGGTTACCCTTTTATTCAATAAGCATCCTGGAGTTTCTCTTATCTGGGAGGCATTCTGCTAGTTAAGAGACTTACAGAAATAAAGCAGGAGTCCCCACTGAAAATCATGAAGAGGGGACAAAGGCAACTTGGTACAACCTGACGAGTGAGGACATTCAGGAGGTACTGAACACCGAGGACATGGGCCCTGGTGCTCAGGATGTGCAGAGAGACTGGGAAGTAGCGCCTGAGAGAAGCACAGGGCCCAGCCAACTCAGAAAGCCGGTGGGGGCTGTAACAGCACACCCCCTTTTCCCTTTCCTGTCCCCCCTGGGATGCATCTTGTCCAGGGCACACACGAATCCTCATCTTGACTCGTTCCAGTGCCCAGTTCAAGAAAGGGAGGCAGTCCAAACAAGGAAAAAATGAGGATTTTGAAGCTTCAAGGGAAGATGGCTTCGTAAGGCTTCCCCTGGCTGGTGCATGGAGGCCCCGAGGCACATCCATGAAGTCCGAGGCGGCACCTGAGATCGCTGCATGTTCCGGAGCTGAAGTCTGAGGAGAGAAGGGAAGGGGAGAGGAAAGGAAGGGCCAGTGACAGGGGAGTGGGGGGGTCAGCTGGGGAAGGAGGCGCCGTGGGAATTCCCAGAAACAGGGGCTCTTGGGAGCTGGGTGGGAAGATGGCTGCTGCTGCGCTGTAACTTTGCACACGCCCAGGCATCCGGTGTGCCCAGTCTCTGGAGAAGTAAAGGGAGCCACACTCCATGTTCGGGAAGGTGAACGCCGGGCCCAGCACCGTGGGCCAGAGGTCTGGGGATGCCCGGGGCTCTCCCAGGGTGACCACCTGACAGGTGGGGACGGCGCTGTGAGTTCAGCACCCTCGACAACCACACTGGCACCAGCCGACCTTCAGAGTGACAGCGCTTAGGGTTTAAGACCGAGCTCCTCATAATCAGTTCCTGCCCGGGTCTGTGGGAATTTCTTTTTGGCTTTAAATGAGGTTAGTATTTTACTCACAGTTAAGAAAGGCTGTCCAAGAGTGTCCAAGTGGCCGAATTTTTATAGTCTCTCATAATTTCTATAAGGAAATCTTTTAATTTTTATGTAAATAATGCCCTCACTCATTCGGAGCGACCTAATCAGATCCAGCCTGTATTACTGAGGGTTTATCCTGCTGTCAAAGCACACAGGATGAAACCTCTTTGCACACCCTATGTGCAGTCTTGCCTTGGAGAATTCATATTTGCACAGCTTCGAAGTGATGCATTCCTATGAGCAGCACCAGCCAGCATCATAGTTTTATTCAGGATAGGAAAGGCAGTTAAAAAAAAAGTCTGTTTTTACTTATAAATCGGTAATGATCAATACGTAGGGAAGAGCTCTCATAATCTTGAAGGTTCACATCCTACCTATTAAAGATCACAATTTAGAAAATCCATATACTTTTGTGGGGGGCTATTCCAGGCATCACGTGCTCTTGAGGGGCACTCTGGAGGAGGCAGAAACATAAACTAATGGTGAGAACGTACAATGGTTTCAGCAGATTTGAGGGCCATGTCTAGCACTGGCTGGGAGGCCAGGAAAGCTTTCCTGAGGAGGTGGCAATTTCTGTCAGACAGCAAAGACAAGAGCAGAAGTGTGCTGGGCACGGTGGTGCTTGCTTATAATCCCAGCAAGCAGGAGGCCAAGGCAGGATAGCCACGAGTTTAAGGCCAGCCTGGGCTACAGGTACAGCCTGAACTGCTGAGACCATGTCTCAAAAAACCAAGAGCACAAAGGTATGAAATTCTACACAAGGTAACTTGGTCATCGAAGAAACACTGGGCTTGGGAAAGGCATGTGGAAATTTTTTTTTCTTATTATTAAAAAATGGGGCAAGGGTAGCTAAAATCTGTATGTTTCTCTTTTGGTCCTCAACTCTGATGCACAAGAAATAAATCGCTAATAAAAACGCAAAGGACGTGTCTGGATCTTCACATCATACAATGGGGGAGGCTGGGCACCTGCAGCAACTCCAAAGCATACTTGGAGGGCATAGTGAGTGCATCTGAATTAGGTTAAAAACAAGCCACAGATTCTCTTGAGATTTCTTCAGCATTTCTATGTTTAATCATAGAATTACTTCTCGTTTCCATTCATCATAAATAATCTACTTCATTACTTAACCATCCCTTTGAAAAAATTTGGTATTTAGCATAAACACTGAACATCACCGGAGGTATGTTAATTTTAAACAGAATAGTGAAGAACTTTAAAAAACAAAACACTTAAAACTTACAGTGTGTTAAAGATCAACATTATAATCGCTTTAAAAAATCAAATTTCATAACAACCTTTTAAAAAACTCCAGGTGGAAAAATGAGTGAACATCATTTAATATATTTCTTTTATAAATACACTTGGACAAAACAAATGCATAGAACAGCTTGACAGTGCATAAACATAAAAATATTTTAAGATCTGAGTCATTAAATCACAATAAACATGAATTAAAAATACATTTTATTTCTTGTTCTTTATGGAAAAATATGCTACATTTGTGTTTAAAAAGCCATAAACATATCACTAAAGCCACCAAAATGCACCACATAAAGAAAATTATTTGAAAACACATTAAAGCAAAAGACAATGTTATCATAGCATTTTCAGTTGAAATTTATCCCATATCACACCTACTATAGGTGTTAGACAAGAGAGGTAGATAAGTTGAAAAGAAAATCAGTATTCAAATAAAAAGGGCAAAAGATTTTTATGACAGCTTGGACAGACAGAGATTTCCATTTACTCTACAACTCAAGAAAGCTTGTAAAAACAAAACATGAAACCCTTTCTGTGTTTCATAGATAAGCATAAAAAAAAGCAAAATTAGTGAGTTTTAGACAGTGTAATTTGCAACAACTGTATATTACAGCCTGTTTAGAATAGATTTCTGCAGGTGCTGGCACTAACCTTAGTACTCTCATGAAATTTACGTGGCTCAATGACGTAGAAAAGAGTCCAAAATAGCAAAACATGAGACCTAGTTCTAACAATATTCTAAATTTACACTACTGATAAACTTAGTGAGTTTTGAAGGAATGATTTTTTTTGTCAGCCTAACAACAACAAGAGCCACTGGGGATAGTGTGGCTTTGGCAATACCCAGGATGCCATATCTTGTGTCACATTGAGAAAGGACACGAGAGATGAAGTAACAGAATGGTGTGCAGAAAATACAAAAAAAATGTTCCCTTACCTTAACATACTGCTTTATTCTCTATTTGGGTCCACAGTAAGAGCAAATATTGGATACTTCTTTGAAAGCTGATGTCCAGCTGGAGACAAATTTGTATTTGATGTTGTAGTTAATGAATCGTCTTATTTTTGTGTGTGTGTGTGTGTGCCAGTTTTTCTTTCCATCTGGCTATGTCTATGTAACTAGAGGGCGTCTATGTAACATTTTCTTGAATTCATGACCCTATGTTTTCATTTATTCCTAAGTGCAATATGATTTTAACTTTTAAAAGAATGTTGCAAACATTTCTCAAATCTATGAATAAATAGTCTCAAATATCTTAAGTGCATTTAATTCATAGATGTAACAGACTATTCTCACTGAATGGAGAACTTTGGAAAGTGTTCAGCACATCTGTGTAACAAGAATAATTCTGGTCTCAGTTGTGGAATGTGAATATAATCCATCATTAATTGTTGCTGCTCTCAAATTGATTGTAACGTTCTGTGTGCCTGTTTTGGCTGTTATGGGTGTGCAAGTGTGGTAGGAAGCAGGTAAGAAAGAAATTACAGAAGAAAGAGTAAAAACATATTGAGATATAATAAAAACTCTGAAAACCAAATTCCTTACTTTACCTCAAAACTTCACATTCTTACTTCACTCATAACTCAAACACCAGGTCCTTTCTTTGAAGCAGCTTATAATAAATTTAAGATACGACACCACAATTTCTTATGATGAGACTGAAGAATTTCTGTGTGGAAACTATTTGAAGCAATGTCTCAAAAATGATGTCAAGGAATGTAGAGATATCTTATGCTTTTCAGCATCTATTCGATCCATGACCCCTGCTGAGTTGATAAGGAAGAGGCATGTCACAGTTGTAGGAAAAAAGAATCACACTGTGAAAGTATGCATGAAGAAAACTTTGGAAATCTTCACTGTCATCAGAAGGGCATTTTCCTGATGGTGTGACCCCATTTCAACCATTACAGTAACTATTAAACAGTCGTACTGCACAAAAGGTGATGCAGAGAAGGGTTGGTAGCTTTTGTCCTTCTTAGGACTGTTTTCTGCATTAGGAAAACAGAAATTAACTCTGAAATACAGTACCACCACTAGCAGTAACCAACAGAGTATGTTTTGGAAATAACGCTCTTGTTGAACAAACTTTAAGGCACTTAAACAAGGTATATCATATTTTTCCTTAAAAAAATAAAAATATGCATCAAAGCAACATTCACAAGTACTAGTGTTCAGAGCTGTTTGTATGTACACACACACACATGGTTACAGAAAGGGTCGCTCCATTATACTGTTGGCCTTGTCAGCTTCACTCCCTGTAAGAAAGGGAAACAGGTTGTTCGGTTATTCAGTATTGATGAGCAAAGTGAAAGCATCAGTTCACACTGGATAACTTACACTTCTAGAAGGATGAAGAGGCCCACTGCTAGCTCGGATCTGGAATCTCCCTCAAAGACCCATGAGTTAAAGGCATAGTTCCCAGCGTTGTACTACTGGGAGGTGGTGGAACCTTTACAAGGTAGGCTCTATTCAGGCCTTCGGTCTCTGGAATGAAACTCTCAAAGGGGACTGTGGAACCTTGTTCTCTTTCTCTTTGTCTTGTTTAATTTCCTGCATGAGTCGAGTGGTTCTTACCTATTACACGCTGCCACCATATGATGTCATCCCCAAAACAACAAGGCCAACTGATTATGGACTGAACCTTCCCAAACGGTAAGCCAAGTCAGCTTTTCATCAATAGGTCACCTCAGGTATTTGTTACAGCAGTGGAATGCTGACTGACATGCTCACACAGGTGCATTATGTAGTCCGTAGTCCAAACCTAAGGATACAGATCCACCTGCCCACCTCCCTGGCTGGCAGACTGTGTCCACTTCCCTAGCCTATCCTGGCTACTCTGCATGACATGGTAGCCATGGTTCTCATTGGTACTGTCTGCAAAGCAGAGAACGTCATCACGGATATTGCAAGGATAGACTCTGTATTTATTTCAGCAGCCAACTATTCCAGGCCTTCTTGATTATTCTAAGTTAGTCTATGCAAAGGGAAAATGAACAGTATTGTCCAGTTTAGTCTCCCTTGTGAAAATGCTTCTGTTACTCTGCAGAATAAATCTCAGAGCTTTGAAACATCTAAAGGAAAAAAGGTGATTAATTTATTGTTCACCATGACTGCACACTGTTGATAAGAATATTAGCATTTTCGGACAGATTTTCCATCCATTGTGGAAATTTATAAATTCTGAGTGGCAAAGCATGTAACACATTGATAAACATACACATAAATATAAGAGAGAGTTTTCAAGTGGATGAATAGTAAAAGAAAGAAGATTCTAAACCACCCCTCTGCTAGCTCTGAGCAGGAGGCTCGGAGCCTGGTTGGTACCTGATGTAGAAAAGGCATCACTAACATTTTGTTTGATGAAAGAATGAGTGAATACACTGGATCACCTGCACTTCTCAAGTACAATCCTGCAGGGTACGTGAGCCTTCTAAACATGATATTTGTGTCTGCAATGTCACTGCAGTGTTGGGGGAAGAGACAGGAACATCAAAGACACCAGGGCTCCTAAATCTTAAATCTAGCACCAACAGAGCCAAGCACAGGGCACGGGCCAACTCTCTGAGCTACCTCCTAATCTGTAAAATGGAAACAGTGCAGTTTGCTCTGAACGCCATTGTAGATAAGCTGTGACACCGGCAGCTGTGTCAGGTCCCTCCTCAGAACCAGGTAAAGAATGGCCCTTGCTTAGCACACACTCAAGGGGGCTACTACAGTGGCCTCCGTGTCCAGGATGATGGGGACACGACACAGGGCAGCCTGTCACTGATGCCTCTTCCTCCCACACCTCTCCTGATCACAGTCACCACCTCACATACAGAAAAATGTAAGTGCTGGAAAGTCAAAGCCACTGGGAGGAGGGAGCCAGCTCCAACAGTGCTACCATGTTCTACCTTCTCAACTTCTCTGAATCAGTGGCTTACTTGGCTTCGGTTGATAACTTGGGAACTCAAATCCACAGAGATCTAATGAGTGACAAGCGTCTGCACTTACTGTGTGAAAGCAATATTGTGTGGGCTCTTTTGCTACTTATCACTCAAAAACAGTTGTGCTGTACAGAGAAATTATGTGTCTTGAAAATTAAAACTGAAGTAGGCATTCTAGATAAGTCTGGGTTCTACCATATTTAGAAAGGCTTGTGTAATCAGGACACAGATGAAAGACGTAACGGGACAGAGATGGTGTACGCAAGAGGGGAGCGGTGGCCATCTTGAAAACCTCATGAAATACACCCTTCAATATAAGTGAATTGCAAAGAGAACTTGAGGTCCGGGGATTTAGTTCAGTGGTTTCCCTGCCTGCTTTGCAAGCACAAGGTCCCTAGTTTGATCCCCGGTATAAAAAAATTTAAAAAATTAAAGAGAGAGAGAGAGAGACAGAGACAGAGAGAGAGAGAGAGAGAGAACTTAAAAACTACAATCTAAGTGACTGCCTTTTATATTAATTTAAAACACTCAATTCTTCTGTACAAGTTGAAATTCATCAATGCACTGTTGTTATGGTATTTAGTCATGAAAATATGTACTCAAGGATAATGATGTGCTAGCAAATGCTGAAGTGTACAGAGTTCAGATCCAAGAATAACATTTCCATCTAATCTGGATCCAAGGAAGATCATTCTGGAGTCTCACCTTCTGCCTTGACACCATCCAAGACTTTATCGTTGGCACCAGCACGCTGCCTAGGAGGATCTGAGCTGGGTGGTAGATGAGCAGGGGCACGGATATTAGCGAGAGATGCTCATGTCCTGCAAACACTATCTTCAGCATTGGAATTCCTGACGGACAAAGAAAACAGAAAACTGAGAGGCAAATTCAGGCTGTCATCAAGTTAGAGACATGCTCCATTAGGACCGGAACTTTGGACTAACTAGGTTATTACTGTACCACCCCATGTGAATGCACAGAACAGAAATGGGAAAGCCTCAGTTAAGTCAACAAATCTTTCTTCCTTTCACTACATAAAGCTCGAAGCTTAATCTAGAACAGAAGAAAAAGGTGGCCAGAATTCAAGGGGACCAATAACTCTGCCCATCTGTCAAAGGGAGGAGGGGAGACTGTGTGTAACAGACTTGCTTTAAGAAGGCTGAAAAATACTGGTGAGTAGAAGTTAAAAATGGATCACCTCTCGCTCAGTGGTGAGAAAGTCTGTTAGCCTTTGAGGAGGCCAGTGTGGCTTCTTTTTAAAGCCCCAAAGCCCAGTTTCAGGACTTGAAAAGATTTGGGAAGATAACCTGGTACACACTGCTACTGGAGGAGGTACTTGAGCTACAGGAACATTAAAACCTTTGCGTATTCATTCATTCATTTCTTCTGTCTGTGTCTGCCTCTGCCTCTCTCCCCTCCCTGCCTGCTCCCTCTCGCTGACGATGGAGATTAATCCAGGGCCTCAGGTATGCTAAGCACACCATCTGCCTCACTGAGCCATCTCCAGCTTTGCACATTCTGTTTTGACCCAGGATCTCCAAGGGCTTTACAATCACCAAGCAAAGCTCATACAATTTTGTGTGTGGCAGGTGAATTGTAAAGTTAGTTCCAAAAGTTTAAACTCCACGAAGCCTTAATGGAGCCCAAATAAATGAACACTACATTGTGAGTCGAGTCTACCAATAGGACAGGGTGTGCATGCATATATATATACATATATATATATACACACACACATATATATGTGTATATATATATATATATATTTTCTTTTTTTTTTTTTTGCAAGCAGCTGCCACAAAACAGACCTCTTGAGTTGCTCCAGCAGTTTAACCATTATTACCAATTGTTTCAATATAGCTACGGTCTTCACAACTACTGTGTATGTCTGTCAGCCTTCCTAGCTGAACAGTTTTAACAGCTTGGCTCTCTTTGTGTTTCTCTGCCAAAGCCAGCTGAAAAGGACCCAAGCACCTAAGTGCGCATGATGATGGCGCATAAATAACTTTTTATTACCACACAACGAGAAAGGCTCCGCTTTTTCAATTATTTTTACCTTGTAATAAATTTCAAACCTTTATGCAAAAATGTATTTCATGGCTGCTTTCTTTTTCACAGCCTCACATATCAATGCCGTAAACTGAAAACGCTTACCCCTTCCCAACATAAACTCTCTTCGAGCTTCCAAAGTAGCTTTAGGTTTTAGTACAATTTCTGTCATCACACCAATATATGTTTTAAAATGCCAACCAGATGAAAAAACTCTTTAAAAAATAAAGCTTTAAAATTCCACGTACTGTTGAAAAGCAGCATCTGATAGTAGGGTTGGGAAGTTATTAACATGGAAAAATATTAAGACCTGAACTTCTGTTTCTAAGACAGATTATTCATTCCTTGGCCCACCAAGATGATGCTAAGAGATTGGGTGGTGGTGGAGGGGCACAGTATAAAAGGGAAGCTAAAGTGCAGCAATGATAGAACTATGGGGATATTCTGTCCCTAAGAAAAAATCTTAGAATGGCTTTTGGACTCTCAATTATGGCTGCTATGCTAAATAACCAGAGTTCCCTTTTCTTGGCTAAGAATTTGGACTGTCATTCTCTGCAAGCTCAAGTGGGCTCAGGAGAGAAACCACAGATAGTGCCAGGTGCTGCTGCTATAACAGGTAAACCAAGAAGCCACTGCAAAACACACATCTAAATGTAAGCAGCATCAGAAAGTCACTGTCACACGATGAACCAGGCAGCAAAGGCAGCAACGACGACAGCCGTGGTGAGTGTGTTCTGAGTGCCTACTGAGCCCTGTGCTGTCAAATGTTTTCCCATACTGACTGCTTTTCCTCATAATAACCCCGGAGGTCTGTGGAAACCACAGACTGCCATTTTGCTGAGGAGCTCAACTGCCTGGTGGTCAGGAGCCTTCCCCAGGGGAGTCCAAAACACAGCAGGGCAGCATTTTCAGGTGTCTGCTTTGGACGAGGTTGGTTCTGGACTGAGTGGGTTCGGGAAGCAGAAGGCCTGTATGCAATCAGATCTCGAGGCCGGCAGTCCTCTGGGAACACATTCTCCCTGCTGCCCTCGTGCTCCCCTCTCCAGGGGTCACTGTGTTCTGAGCCTCCGGCCAGTGAAACGGGAGGTGACCGCCAGGCTGTCCCACAACACCACGAAGTCATGACTCACACGGCCAAGGCCTGGCCCTTGGGAAACTTCTAATGTACTGTGTCCTCTTGCGTCTTCAGACCTAATGCCAACTGTCCGAAGCTCTCCCCTGGCAAGTATCAGCTCTACTCTCTCATCTTCAAACACACCGTTTGCTCCCTGCAAACCGTACTCCTCCTGCAGCTGTTCTTCTGCAGGGTTCTGCTGGTACAGGAGGAAGGTGGGGGAGCCTGCTGGCCCTTCTAGTGTTGTGGCTTCTTGCCAGCAGCAGCCCCTCGGAGTCCCCAGCACCAGTGTCCCTCTTCAGAGACCTGGGCCCTGCCCTGCTGCGTCCTCTTCCTAGGGTCTAGGTATAGCCCTCTGCTTGTTCCCTAGCTCCAGGCAATTCCTGCAGCTATTACTCCTCGTGGCCTCTTCCCTTTCCAGTTTTCCAACAATGCCTAGTCAATTCCCAGGAGCAAAAGGGTAGATTCTATTTTCCTAACAGACCTTGGTTGCCCTTTTCATACTCTGCCTTTCGCAATCTTTTGCTGAGATTTATCTTAGTGGTGCCACCGCCTGCCTCGCAAGTGTAAGGTCCCGAGTTTGATCCCAGTACCAAAAAAAAAAAAAAAAAAAAAAAAAAAAAAAAAAATTCTTGCCTTACTTGAAAAAGAGAGAGGATCTGTGATGACTTGCAGCTGTGTATCTGTCCACTTAAATAGGAATTTCTCTCCACCACTTCACATGCCTGCATTACCTCCCTGATTATTTCAGGTATTTTTCAAAGTGATGGCAAAGGAACACAGTCTGCATTAAGTGATTTACCAGGCACATGAGCGCACTCACACCTCTGACCCCTTACCCTCCCTCAGGGCACCATCAGCTCTCAGTTGCACCTCCCCGTCTCCATGCCAGGCTCTCGGCTTTTAGGTCTGCCCCACCTGGGTTGTCTTCGGCTCTATCATTAGAGGGAACGTTCTGAAGTGCAAATCTGACGATGTCAAGTCATCCGGGAGTTTACCACATGGGAGCGTCTGCTGAGGGTGGCATCCAAGGACCCTGTGGTCTGGTCCCCAACTCTTCTCTCTCCCTCTCACCTTGGCACTTTGGCCATGATGAGCACCTGTGTTTCTCTCCTATCCATCGTTGTCCCTGCGCCGTATTTGCCTTGCTTCTCAGCTCTCGCGCCTGCATTCCCTTTGCTTAGGATACTCCTCATCCACAGTTAAAGCTCCGTGTCCCTCAGTTCTTGGGTTGACCGAGAAGGCATGCCAAGGGGTCAAGCCTGGCTGGTAGCTGCTTTCTATACCACGTTTTCCAATTCTACCCTGAATTTTCTGTACGTATTATAAGCAGTGTTTTGGTGTTTCCTGCATCAAGCTGTAAGCTTTAGGACCAGCAGCTCTTCTTACTTTTCTTTGAGCATACAGTAGGTGCTCAAAAGGAGTGTGTTGAATGGATAGATTTGCATTTTTTCCAGATCTCATCATGCAGTCACGATGCAGTCTGTTACCCCATTTTTACTACATTCATTAATTAGGAAAAACAGTAATAATTTAAAAACCCCTAACAAACTTCCTAGAAAGAGATTTCTTTTTAGAGCAAAATTTAAATATAGGATTTGTTTCATCTTATCACTGCAGTAGTATAAATGAAGGAAATTAATTTTAATGCTCCCAGGTACTGATTCTGTGTCACCATGGCTGACAGGATTCAACTCGACTTTATGAGATGGCATTTGACTTTATGGAAGTGAACACTGTGCACACAGTTACAATTTTACAGGGACTTTAAGCTGTCATGCTGAAAAATGTTTATAAAACATTAATCAAAAAATGCCTCTTTAATACAATGCATTGTCTGAAAGATGTTAGGAGGCACAGATTGTAAATGGATTCTTTTTCTGACTAAAGTAATTTCCACCAAAAGCATTTCCCCACTGCTATACAAGTACACCATGCGGATAGATGAAGAGCACTCTCTCAGCACATTACTACCTGATCCAAACACTTGGGAAATCACTGGTGTACAGCATGCCACATCTCCGTGCCACACATGACACATTCGTCCAAAATTACCCAACAGAGTTTGACACTGAAGTGTATTCCACAGGCAGAGCTTTCAGCTGACATCTGCCAAGTAGGAACTTCAAGCAAAAGCTTTCTCCTTCTAACAAGCAAGTAAGGGTTTCCTTTTATCCTATACCCAGGATGGAGCCGATAAACAACACATACAAGAACAAGCCCCCCCACCCCCACATTTTAAATATGTTTATTTTATGTTCTTTCAGTTAGAAAATTCCCTTTGTATCTGTGTTCAACTTTCAACAATGACTATTTTCTTTTGGATGGACGGCTTTTTAATTTTTCCTTGAGAAATAGGCATTTTCCTCCCTAGATGAAATATGGACTTTCATTCACCCCCCACTGAAGGTTGGCCTGTTGTTCACAATGTAATTATCTACTTGACACCATTTTTCAGAGCTTACTTCTAGATGCACAGTGTTCCCAATATTCATTCATTCATTCATTCAAAAAATGCTCTGGGGCCTCTCTTGTCAATTACTGTGCTAGCTCCTGGGACACATGGAGAACACAGACAAGATCCCTGTGCTCCTGGTTGCTGCTCTCTGGTAGCACTTGCCCCAAACACATCAGCTTTCCACTGTCCTCTGGCTGAGCACCCTGCAAAACCCTGCAACCAGGGACTAA